TTATTTGTTCTAGTTCTGTGAAAAATCCCATTGGTATTTTGATAGAAATTGCATTGAATCTATAAATTGCTTTGGCTAGTATGGAAATTTTAACTGTATTAATTCTTCCCATCCATGAACATGGTTTCCATTTATTTGTATCTTCTTTAATTCCTCTCTTACAATTTTCTGTGTACAGGTCTTCCACTTTGTTGGTTAAATTTATTCCCAGGTATTTCTTTTTTATGCAATTGTAAATGGGATTATTTTCTTAATTTCTCCTTCCAATAGTTTATTATTGGTGTATAAAAATGCAATCAATTTCTGAATATTAATTTTGTATCGGGCTACTTTACTGAATTCATTTATCAGTTCTAATAGTGTTCTACTGGACTCTTTGGGGTTGTCTATATATGGTATATAATCTGCAAATAATGATAGTTTTATTTCTTTCTTTCCAACTTGGATGCCTTTTCTTTTTCTTGTCTGATTGCTGTGGCTAGGACATTTTTAGGCCTTCCTTTTAAAATCTGTTGGGCAGGACCAGCTCGGCATTTAATGTAGGCCTACTGCTGATGGAAGACCCTTCTGAGAACTCTACCCAGTGTCCTGTGAATTTGCAGGTTTTCCAGACTGGCTGGTGGGAACAGGCATTGTGGAGCATTTGGTACTCTTCTTTCTAATCTTTTCAAATGGGTCTTTGCCTGGCTTTGGGTAGTTTCCCCACATATATGCACTGATCATACATGTGTTTATTGGGGGCTCTTTGTAGAACTCCAGTGTTCTTTCTCTGTACAGCTCTCTTATGAGAACGCTATCCTGTAAATTCTAGCCACCTTGATCTCCCTGGATTCTCAGCAAGGTGTCCTCAACTCAGAGAATCTGCCAAAATCCTGGACACCCACTGCCTACACCACAGCCTTAAATTTCTTTCAAGGTACTAAGTTACAGTTATCATAGGGCTCACCTTGTTTGTCTCCCATCTCCAAGAATCACTGTCCTCCATTGCCTGATGTCTAGTGTCTTGAAACCATTGTTTTCTATCTTTTATTCAGTGTTTTCATTGTTTTAGGGGGAGGGTAAATCTTTTCTGTTACTCCATCTAAGTCAAATGTAGAGGTTTCAGGCTTTGTATTTAGTGCTCATAATCTCTCTCTTTCAGGTGTGTGTATCAGTTCTCTCTTCCTGGCAATATAACTTTGGCAAATTACCTAACTTCTCTGAGCCTTATTTTTTTTTCCATGTGCAAATATGAATAATAATGTTACAGTGATTAAAAGTATAGTTATGGAAAGCATGCAACACAAGGCCTGGTATATAATAAACACTCTAATAATGGAGACTAGTTTTATTATCTAGATTAAGTGTTTACATCAGATGATCTTTGCAGGCTATTCAAGATCTAAAATTTTGTGATGTTATTAATTTAATTTTGAAAATTACATGACATAATTTTAAAAATTAAAGCATGCCCTCAATATTCTTTTTAGCCATACATTTATTATGCATAAATTAAAATAAATATTTTGTAAATGATGACTTCATCCCTGTCAAATTTTATTATTTTACAAGTTATCATTTTTTATTTTATTACTATTACACTAAAACACATTAGGACTTATTAGGCCATTTGGCATTTCGATTTTGAAGAATTTGAGGTTTTATTTTTATCTATTTATTTACTTAGCCTCCCTTCAATACTGAAATTGACTATTTCTTAAAGTAAACTTTCTTCCCCCTGCGTTTTCACTGTTAATCCAGTTCCTCAGCCAGGAAGTACAGTTTTATTTGTTTTAACTATTGTTTTTTAAAAGCTCTATGTACTATTTAAAATGAGGTCACTAGTGCAATTCTAAAACATTCATAAATGTGATATATTCGTTATAATCTAAGAAACTATTTGGGTGGATTTTTTTTTATGACACTACAAAATGATAGTCAATAAAGTGACCCTCACTTATTGCAAGCATTCTGGCGAGAGGAGATTTTTTAATTACAAAATTTTAACACCACTGTGCACTTGGAACCAATTTTAAATGTTCAGTATGCATATTAATTTTCTTTCTTCACATCAAAGCAATATTTGAAATAAACAAAATCCATGACAATTAGTAAATATGCAGTTATTTTAAGTGTGCCATCCTTGTTGCATAGCAACTACAGATTTTATCATGTACTTTTTACATACTCTAAAATAATTAAGCATAGGCACAAATTTCTGTTGACCTTTTTGAATGTTTCAAGCATTTAAGCTATGAAGTTTATTCTAATATGTGTATTACATATTTGTAAAGAGAACATTTCATTCTCACACAAAGGCACAGTGACCCAAAAAAAGAGATGACAATGTCATATTAGTAATTCTTTTTTCTCATGAGAGGACTTTTAGGGAACTCTTTATTCATTGTCTCAATAGCTGACACAGCCAAGACATAATTATCATTCCTTGATTTTACTGGTCTGGATCTTGACTTACTGCTAAGCTAAATGATAAGATTTATTAACAAGGAGTCATGTCCTCTCAACAAAAGAAATGACCGTTTATATTATAGAAAATGATGCCTGCCAAAATACATCTGTGATATAATTAATTTATTAGAAAGATACCATGGTCTTAGCAGGAATTTAGAGAATCCTATATAGGTTTGTTTTTAACATCAAATTAACTTAGCATATAGCAAGAACATAATACTCTTACATGGTCAGATGCTAACATTGACTTCATCTACTTGCTGTGTTAGCACCTCCGGGACAGGGTACAGTAAGCAGCAGCTCGAGACTGGGCCACGAACACAGAGACTTCTCCAGCAGGTTAGATCTGCAAGTCCTTCATGGGGTGTGGCCACACCCCATGGTGAGGAACTTCTACACAAGCAAAGGCAGGAAAGTTCACTCTGTCAGTCTATGAGGAGCCAAGGATTTTGAGGGAAGAGAAGGATCTGTGAATCTCTATCCATACTGACTTCATCAGGGAAATTTCTGAGTCAAACATGGGACGTTTACAACATCTCTTTATACATATTGCCAAACAGCTCTCCGAAAGGTTGCTGTAATTTCCAGTCCCTTAAACAGTAAGTGTGAAAGACTATCTTACTAGACCTTTATCACAGTACAAAATCCACTCTATCCATTGGATGAGTGAAAAAATAATCTCTCATTGTTTTAATTTGCATTTTTTGGATTGCTATTAGGTTGATCATCTTTTTGTATTTTTAAACATGGATTGGTAAAGATAGGGGAAGTAAATAAGAATAGACTAGCTAACTGAGTACGCTGAGGCTAATAAAACTGGGCAAGAATTAAAGAAGTGTGGGCTGTAGAGAAGACGGAAAAGCCCATGCTACAAAGTAAAACAAAGTAAGAATGAGGCACTTTAGCAACTTTAGTCCATATTCTCAAATTTTAATTGCTGCCCATGTGAAACTGTTGTTATAACGATCATTTTTGTTACAGCCTGAATGTGCTGTCCCTGCAGGACAAAGGAAGGGGGACTGATTTATGGAGGGCCAATACTGGCTGAGTATAGCCAACTGTGTGAAGACTGGAAATGAAAGTGACAAATTTAGAATTGACCGGGGCCAGCAATAATACCTAAAGGGTTTCAATCTGGTGGGTGGTACAGTGGGGGATTCCAAGTGAAGATGTTGCTTTGAAAGTGGCCACTTTTTGTTGCTTGAGGTTAAAAGTTATAGGGTCTAGTTACCAAGGAAAATAATCTGATGATAACCAAGCAATCTGAATTTTCGTAGCCAGCTCTAGTTCTAGATGGAAATTGATGTCATAGTCAGAAAACCAAGGCAGAAGGTTAGTGCTAAGGATAGGTACCAGTTGGGGAAGAGAAAGAGCTGGGAGGGCTTTGTGCATTGTGCAGGATAGGGCCCAGGGATCAATCCAGGAGTATGAGAAGTTTATGAGAGGGAGATGATGGCTGTAACCTCAATGACCGGAGCTGCATAGCCTGAGATGGCAGGGACTAACAATTCTTAAATATTACCTACTTGTATTCTTTAAAGGCTATACATAATCACTGTTGAAACTTTGAAAAATATAGAAAAGTCCAAATTCAAAAATCAATACAGGGCCGGCCGAGTGGCGCGATGGTTAGGAACTGGCTTGGGACGCCAGAGGGCCCCGGTTCGGATCCCACATATGAGGGCCAGTGACACTGCCCTCCACAGCTAAGATGCTGAACGACAGCTCAACCTGGAGCTGGGCTGCCGTGAGTCGCCGGCGACGGCGTAGGCTGCAGCCCCTGTGGCAGTGGGTTGCCATGGGCTACCATGTGTAGCCAGCAGCCAGCGTGAGCGGCCAGCAGCCGCAGTGAGCGGCCGTCCAGAAGCCGGCGACTGATCTGCCTCACCCGGGAAGAGCACAATGATGGTGCCAACTTGGGCCAATGAAGCAACGTCCTCCACAACTAGACTGAAGAACAAAATGACAGCAACTTGTCTGTTCCCCTTCCCCCAATTCCCCAGCACTGTTCCCATTCCTCCAATTCCCCAATTAAAAAAAAAATCAATACAATTTTTTTCATACTCTAAGAGCAAACATTTTCTTTGTAAATAGTGAGCTAAAATACCCATTTTACACTACCAAAGTTCATAACAGAATAATTTTAAGTCATTCTCCATACTCTTGAATTATCTTCTTAAAAGCAGAGAAATTGTAAGAATGAATTAATATTACCCTGCTTTTAAGGATGTGGTCAAATGAAGACTGTCACTTTATGGGGAAAAACAGGTAAATATTTAAAAATAAAAATTCTGCTTTTATGTGAGAACTAAGGGCTATCTTAATCTTACAAGATTTCAATATTCTGTTCTTACCTTTTTATTTTCATTATGTTGTCTAGTATTTTGGAAAAACATACACCATAAACACATTTATTCGAGGAAATTCCAGAAAGAATCAAACATGTGCATAGATGCAAAGACATCTACTTGAAATAGTCTTCCGGCCAATGAACAGAATTTTTAAAAACCAAATAAGACACATGCTGATGAAAGCCACATTATCATTACCTTCTCCCTCCAGTTACCATCATCCAGCAGCTTCTGTCTAAGGGTTTCCTGCAGCTGCTCGATGCTTTTCTGATGTGAAATCAGCATCAATTCCCTGAAAACAATAAACCCGACAAATGAGTCAAGACTCGCCCCTAACGCTCTTCCCAAATTGCACACCTGGCTCAAAGAATACAATCTCAAACTTAGTCTGTTTATTCTCTTTAGCCATATATATATACCGCTACTAGGTGCCATTTTAGCTGTTAACAGCAATTTATAAACACTGCAAATATTTTCACAGGCTTAATTTCTGCATAATTAGTAATATTTTTGCATGAAATAGTAACAACATATGTGGAGTCACAAATATAATACAATATTTTACATTGTGGTTCCAAAGTTTATGACTAAATTCTAACAGTAGGCAATATTTTGTTCCTTAAGCAAAGGAAAATATGTTGAGATATGCCATAAAATCAACACATTTGTGGTTCCTGCTAAATTTATTTATTTTTTTTACTTATCTCAAATACGGATAGGAACAGACCCAATTAAGTAGAGGGTAATGTCTGAGATGTGGTATAGTACAAAACATATTAGAAAATTGAAAACACAAAGAACATTTTAATATTTTAATCCACATAAATGAATCTTAAAGCTTAGTTTGTGATTCTGTAGGTGGAAGTAAGTGTGGGCAATTCATGAGACCTTTCCACAGGGGCACTGAAATTAAGCCTTGGACTATCACAAGTAGTGGCTAAAGCACGCTTGTTGATCAGGGCTCCTTCCTCCTTCTGTAATCACCATGACTCTTCCTCTTCTCCATTGCTTATTCCTCTTTCTAATCCCTTTGTTTTCTATCATCTGCCTCTTCCTTTTAGCTCTGATACCTTTTCTCAGACTTGTAACTCTCATTTATAACTGCTGTTGGACATCTCCACCCTAGTGATTCATCAACACCAAAGATTCCATACATCAAAAAACAAATCCACCATTATCTCCTGCAATCTTGCCTTTCCTTTTGACTTCTGAAAAACTTTAATAGTCAAAATCTTTGGCTTGAAATCCCTGAGTCATCTCTGACTCTTCCTTCTCCTAATTCTACTGCCCCCATTCAGTAGCAAGTTCTATGCATTCTGCTTCCTCAGTGTGGGTCAAACTATTTCCTCCCTTCCTTTCCCACTACCAATAGCCTCATTAAGGTCCTTGACTTTGTCTCCCACCACGAGTATTGTAATAGACTCTCAGTCTATCTCCTGATCTCTCTTCTAGTCTCACTCTCATAATATTATTAAAAATAGTAATATTTTTATACCATAATAAAAATAATGCCCACATTTCTAGTCTGGAAATTTTTAAAGACACGAACATATGAAGACACATTTGACTTGATAACCAGGATTATGAATATCATTTGAGAGAAATTAATTGAAAAAAACCAAAACTCTCCAGACTTCTCTTTCCAGAAGTGTGTCCAACGAGGTACCTTGACAAATTTCCTACTGAAAAGAAGTAAAATTTTTTTTTTTACTTATAAGGAAATCTTAAAATTCATTAATGAGCTGGACAAAAGTGGGAAAGATACAGAGAACAAAATTCAAGTGAAAGAACAATAAAGGATATCAGTGGAAAACTAGTGAAATCTGAATGAAGTCTGTAGGTTAATTAATTGTATTATACTAATGTTAATTCCTTAGTTTTTATGGAAAACTGGTTATGCCATGGTTATGAAAGATGGGTTAAAGGGAAACACAACCTCTCTGTACCATCTTTGTCTTTTCTGTAAATATAAAATTATTCCAAACCAAAGGTTAAAAAAAATGAAATGAAAAGAAGAATCCCCACAAAAAGTAGAACATGGAAACCAACCCTCACCTTGAAGGTACTTTCCAAGTCTGATGAACTTGAGCTTTAAACGTGGCAGCCATGAAGGGTACAGAAATCAGCAGACAAAGGAAAAGTCTAAGAGGAAACTCGCCTGAGTGATGCTGCATCTCAAAGAGCTACTTAGGCAGCATCTGTGTGAAATTCCCACTCAGTACATGTAAAACACAAATCATATCTCTTCTCAAGGTGCAAAAAGGAAACTATTGGCTTTGAATTTGGGTGCTAAGTAGAGAGAAAAATACAAATCTCTTGTAAGAATTTGTAAACACAAACAAACCTTAATGCAGGTTTGTATCCTGAATTCATATTACTTGAGCAGTCCCTAAAGCTTCATCTTGAGAAGATATCTTAAAGCAGTGCTAGGTTAACCTGTCTTCAATGTGGGACTCAAAGAATTCCTACAGATAAAGATTCAAGACCTATGAAATCACAGTTTTAAAAGTCATAGAAGAGATAAGAAGAAAAATGAAAACAAAAAGAAAAAGACAAATTAAAAAAAATCACAGAACTATTTTTTAAAAGCCAGTAAGAGGAAGAATGGGCAGACACACAAAGGACAGCATAATCAAACTCACAAATTCTGAAGTGCTGAATTTTCAGATACTGAATATAAAATAAGGATGTTCAATATTGTTAAAAAAGAAGAAGATTGATTTAAATGACTTGTTAAATTTAAAAAAGAACCCAAATGAAGTTGTAGAAATGACCAATAGGATAATTGACATTGAAAACTCAGTGGGTGGTCCTGTAGATTAGTCACAGTTGAAAAATGAAGTAATAAACCGAAAGGGATATTCAAAGAAATTATACAGAGTACAGTACAGGGAGTCAAGAATATGGAAACTATAAAAGAGAAATGGACATATATGGAGGACAGAGTGAAAAGATCTTATATCTATCTGTTCACCATTCCAGAAACAAAGGAGAGAGAAAGGGGCAAGGGGGGCGGGGGGACAATATCTGAGGAGAATATTTGAGATTGATGAAAATTAACAACCCACAAATCTAGAAACCCAATGGATTCTAAGTAAAATAAATAAAAATATATTTCACATCTAAGCATCTGGTAGTGAAAATCAGGAACATAAATGTTAAAGAGATCTCAAAAGAAGCTGAAGAGAAAAACCAAACAACTAAATATCTTCAAAGGAACCCAAACAAACTGAATGCTTATTTTCCAAAAGAAAAAAACTAAAGAAGCCAAAGACAGCAAAATGGTATGTTCAAAGTCCTATGAGAAGATAGGTTGGGTACCCAGCCAGACTGTCTTGAAGAACGAGGCTAAGTAATACATGCTCAGATAAATAAAATCTGAGTGTTTACCACCAGCGAAAGGACCTCTACTAAAGGACCTTCAAAGATTATGCTTTTCAGGAAGGAATACATTCAGAAGGAAGGTCAGACATGCAAGAAGAAATGAAAGAAACTAGCCAGCACACAGGCCCGGAGGCTTCCTGGGCATGTGATCGGGACAGCCGTCCAGGGCCCATTCTCAGAAGGAGGCCCTGCAGTTCAGGGTTAATGCTCTGTGGTCACTATTGAGACGTTCTTAATTATTTTATCTTTGAACTTGTGTTTTGTAAGTGAGGTCTGATGGGACAATCGAGCATGCACCAGGGGCTTGAGCTCTCACTCGGCCCCCACACAGTCCTACCTCCCTGGCTTCCCAGGACAGTTCTCAAGCTCCTGCTCCCTGGCCTTTGCTTAGCATCTGCTTGGGGCAGGGTGGGGGAGGGGGGTAGGAGGTGTGGGGGGGTGGAGGTTGGGCATGGGCACTCCCTGTGCTGAGTGAGTCACGGGGCCCTGGGTGCCTGTGAGAGCCTGCACCCATCCCATGATTTCCCCATGCCCAAGGGAGTGCAGCATTCAATAGCAAACAGACACAGAATCACCATAAAGGATTGAGAGGCTGTGAAAGAAAGGAGACACCTCTCTCCAGCTTTCTGAACAAGGGGCCCTACATTTGCATTTTGCACTGGGCCCTGAAAATGATGTGGCCAGCCCTGCATGTAAGTAATTGAAAGCAAATATCATCTGTATGAAATAACAGTTTTGACTATGTGCAATTAATGGGGCTAACGAAAGGATGGAATTAGAACACGAGACAAAAAATGTAAAACGTTATGTCAGGATGGCAACTATCAGAGCTCAAGTGTTCTTTGGTCCTTGAATTGCCCAAACATTGGATTTGTTAAAGCTTCTGCTCAGAGGAGTTTGAAATATTAATTTAGATTTCACTAAGTATGCACTAAAATTTCAAGAGTAACCACTAAAAGAATCTAAGTAGAATATACTATTAAAGGAAAAATGCACTATTAAAGGAAAATAAACAAACTCCAACAATACTCCCTCCACCCCAACCACCAAGTGGCCCAAAAGGAGAAAATAGTGCAGAAAAGTGGGAAGAAATAGAAAGCTTAATGTAACAATTACAATAATAATAAACTAAAATCATGAGTTAAAAAGAGAAAGAGGCTTGATAACAATAAACAAACCCTAGCTATATGCTCTTTATGAGAGACTTTACTAAAATATAAGGACATGGAAGATTTCTTTCTTCTTTTTTTGGAAAAGATATAAGAGAAATAGTAAAAAAAACCAAAAAGTATGCAACTATGTTAATGTCAGACAAAGTAGATATTAAGACAAAAGTCATTATTCTGGGTTGACAATGAAACGGGTTAATTCACCATGCATATTCTAAATGTACATGCACTTATTAAAATAGCCTCAAAATATATAAATCAAAATTTTATAGAACTGTAAGAAGAAATTGTCCAATCCACACATAGTGGTTGAACTCAACACAGCTCCCCCAGTTACAGTAAGTCAACCTGGAACCACCATGTAAGCCCATGGAAGGGTACACTGCACAATTCCAGGCTGTATGTGAATGGCTCTCCTGTAATGTGTCAAGGGTCAACTAGACAAATGATTCAGTGACAATAGAGAGGATTTAAACAATGCAAATAATAAGATTGATTTGAAATACATATGTAGAACTCTGTACCCAGTTAGTGGAAAAATACAAAATTATATTCCAGCTCACATGGCATTGACCACATGCAAGCCAGAAAGTAAGTTTCAGCAAATTTCAAATAGTTATACTATAAACCTGTATAGTCCAGTATGGTAGCCACTAGCCACAGGTACCTACTGGGCATTTAAAGTATAACTACTCCAAATTAGAATGCACTGTAAATGCAAAATACACACCAGATTTGA